ATCAGGTTTGATGTTCGATCTCTTACCCCCAGCAGCGTAATTTACCCAGCGCATGATAACCACGCTCATTGAAACCGTCAAGTATACCTGTATCGCCAAATCTCAGTTCAGTAACAGGCAGCGTGTTCTTGTCTGTCAGGTATCCACTGTCTTCACGCCATGCGTAGTCATTCATGTCACAATTACATTTTCCTTTACCTGCACAGCTGTTGGTTATTCCACATGAACAGTTTCCACTGTCGACTGCCGCTCCACCCCAGTAATTCATCTTTGAACCTTGACGTGATACCACCAACCATGGGAATCTCTCAACAACACGCTACCAAAACATTCATATTTTATAAACTGCTCACAATTCTTCGACTGCTTGATAATCGCGACAATCTGCTCCATGGAAATGTTATATTTAATCTTTCTTTTGTAAGAACCTGGAGGATTATATCCGTTAACTAATGTTCTCGATTCGCTGTCATGTCCAATCTCTGTCACACCAACACCATTCTTTGAAGCCATGTCACAAATACTCGAACCGTGAAGTTAAGTCCTTCAGGCTTTATGGAATACTTTCCACTATCAGCTGAGGGATATTTTGTTCGTAAAATCCGGCACGATTTGTTGGCATGATTTGAATTTCCTGTGAATGAAGATAAAGGTTTTGTCACTACTAATGTGTTGAAAGATAATTTTGAAAAATGTTCGTTTATTGGGTATGAAAGAATGTTGAATTATGAATTCTTCTGTTCTGAGATGACTCAGCAAACAATACAATTATACTATACTAATATTTACACATAATATAATCACAAATAGCCCCCAATTGGGTTTGTATATTTTTATACATAATACATTACACTACACCGCACGAAGTTGCGCCTGTGATAATATGTCAGCAGTTGAATGAAGAAGGTGATACTTAATGTTGTTTTGCATAGAATGTATTTAAATATTTAGCGAAAAGCAAACCCAATAGCGGGCTGCCTGTGATATAATAATAAAAAGAAATCGGAAAAACGCATTTCATTAGATAGGGGGATGGTTAACTTGTATTTTGCATAAAAAACAGCGATATTAGTGTTCAGAGTAAATCTATTTAGAGATTCGTCTAAACTAGGCAAAATCGCAGCAGAGCAGCAAAAAATGAGAGAAGCATTGCTCCTTTTTGAGAAACATTCAGGAACTTATATTTCAATGAATAATCTGAGAAATTTGTACTGGTAAATGAAAATGTAACAGTTTGTCAATGATGAAATCGGGTGTGTTTGGAAATATTTGATTTTGAGAAAACACAAATATGGGAATACTAGAAATACATGCATGCAGCAACCCCTCGCCATTTCAAACGAAGCAAAATATTTCCTGAGCTATCCAGACCTAACCTTCAATATTATGAAATGTCCTAAATGTAAAGCCGATAGCTGATGTCTCAAATATTTCGGAAACAAACACAGTCGTTAAGGTGAAGTGAAATCACCCGTTTTCATGCTGCTTTCCGTTGCATTAAGTTATAGACTTTCACAGTTTAAGTGAGAGTTAATACTTCATAATAGCTAAACCTTCAAAACATCAAAACAGCACAAATAATATAAATAACCAAGCAGTGAATGTCGAATGTTGTTTTTCGATATTACTAAATTCATGCAATGATTGCATGCAGATTTACAGTCGACTCTATAAACCTTTAAAGTGATATTTGTTATATTAAAACTCTGAATTACACTTTTAAGGACTCTTTTGGAAGTTAAAACGATGATGTAAAGCCTTAGATAGTCGGTCACGTCTTCGCAAAACCGAGCAAAACGACATACTGTAGCTCATAAAATGTATTCGTACAACAAACACGAAATAAACCTCGAAATAAACAAAATAGACTCCTACCATTTCAAGGATTATAATCGAGTTGTTCCTTTTCACCGCTAATTCTTCCAGTTCTGATAATATTTTAAACTCTTCCCAGTGTTTTATCTGTTATTTGATTCCACATTTCATATTTTGTTTTCGAAACATTTTTTTAAAAAAATAGTTTGCAAAATGACAGTTAAATTGCTGACGTTTTTCACTGAGACGCAAACGTCTCGTCTTAGCCAATCAGGAAGTTGCTGATTACCAGTCTACACTCGTTCGCATTTCGCGCTTGCGCACAAGTACCATGACCATTGAACGTCCATGGTCCAAATTTAGGCGACTTTGGATTCCGCTATGTTCTCCCGGGTCCCGGGTGTAATTCCTAATCTCCGGGCGGAATTAGTACCCTCGCACGGTGCTCCGCACCGGCTCGGGGATGAATATGTAAAAACATATAAATAATTGAAGTTAATATTCCGATACTTAATTAAAAAATATGTTGTTTATGTGGTTTCAACGGGATTTTACACACTTGCAGCTTCGTTGATCCTTGGGCGACAGGTTCTCCCATCGAAGGCCTTTATTCAATGGGGCTTGGCTTGCGATTCCCTAACCATAATCATTCCTTGACAGTGGAATGGTTTGAACACGATGCCGTCCATATCTATTATTCCCACAATTCGCAACATTTATAATTAATGTAATCGCACTCAGCTAAATAACATCCTTTGAATTAGTCCATGTATTATCACTGGTTAAATACTACGTGCTAGGTCTACGTGCTATTCTAAAAGGTCTACGCACTATTCTAAAAGGTCTACATATACCAAGTGTACGCACTATTTTAAAAGGTCTACGTACTAGGTCTACGTACTAAAAGATCTACGTACGGCCTTCTCGACAACCAAAATGTATCTATTTGTCTGCGAGCGTTTTAAAAATGCAATATTACTGAAAATATTCCGCAATATCTCAGCTTATTACCACTATTGAACTCGTCTTAAAATAAGCTTTTAAATGGTATTTTTTGGTCTGGTTTTGCGCTTAAAACAAACGAATTAAATATCTCAAAAAGCCTTGAGTAAACATGCATATATATATATGCACACCCGTTTGCAAAAACGTTGGGCGCAGATAGATATATAGATAGATACTCGAAATCTAATTAGGATTGCATATGTGGTGTAAATGATTGAAATCCCATGCAAATGTAATCATATGCAATTCTAATTAGACTTCGAGTATCTATCTATCTATCTATCTATCTGCGGCCAACGTTTTTGCAAATGGGTGCATGTATATATACATATATAATATAATATTATATAATATATATATATATTATATATATATATATATATATATATATATATATATTTATAAGATAAAAGGGGTTGACACTGGCTATAAAAACGTAAAACAACGTTTATTTACAAGTTAAAAGACGTTTCGGTCAAAAATCTAAGACCTTCGTCGGTTAAAATGGTGTTGAAAATATACTAGTTATATACAAGTTGATATGTTATTTGAATTGCTAATTTAGAGTAACATAAATGCCAGGTAATTCGATGTGATCATTACCGGCATTGGTGGCCCTTTGGGAATGCCATGCTTCAAGGAACAAACGTTGTCGATAATTGTTTGCTTTGTCTATAACCTTGGGGTTTTTTAAATCTATACTGTGTTTGTGTAAAGTTGCGTGTTGGGCTAATTTAGAATTCTTATCCTGTTTAATGATGGCTCGTTGATGTTCTTTGAGCCGGGTCCGGAGTGCACGTTCGGTCTGTCCAATGTACACAAATTCACATTTCTGACAGCTGATTTGGTATATCACTTCCCTGGACTGCATAATATTTGGTTTGTCTTAAGGTTTTGGAAAGCAGTTGTTCAAGGTCCTAATGGGTTTATAGCCAACTTTGAGATTTTCGCGTCTAAGTACTCTGGCAATGCGTTCTGAAACTCCTTATTTGGATGTAGGGTAATACAACTAGGCCTGCAGAATCATTCTCACTGTTGGTTAGATCTTTTGAACATTTACGCATAGTATCACAATTTTTGATGAATTTGGTGGAATATCCATTACTTTGTAGTACTTTCATGACGTGTTTTCTTTCTTTGCGTTTGCCATTTCTTGTAGACGGAATGTTGTCTGCACGGTCTAATAAAGTGTTGACAACGGAACGTTTGTGGGTGGCTGGGTGGTGGGAATTGAAATCTAGGTACTTGTCTGTGTGGGTTGTTTCCCGGTAAACCTTCATTTGTATGTGTCCATCTTTGCGGTATGTGATGGTATCCAGGAAAGCAAGTTTGTTGTCTTGCTCCATCTCAATTGTGAACTGTATGTGTGGGTTGATTGAATTCAAGTGGTCGTGGAATTCTTGTACATTGTCTTTATGTAGGCCTGTGTGGCTATCGTCTACAAAGCGAAACCACCATATAGGAGGGTGCGCTGCTGATGTAATGGCCTGATCTTCAATGTGTTCCATGATTATATTCGCCACGGTGGCACTAATGGGGGAGCCCATGGCACAACCGAATATTTGTTGATAATACGTGTTTTTATACGTGAAATAGCTGTTTGTGAGGACAAATTTGAGTAATCTTAAGATGTTTGTTCGGGAGATGTCTGTCCGATCTTGGAGATCTTTATCGTCATCTAATCTTCTTTGAACAACAGATAATGCAAGTTCAACTGGGATTGACGTAAACAATGAGACAACATCGAAGGATACCATTACTGCATCGTCTGGTATAGGGTGTTTGGCAATTTTGCTTGAGAACTCCGAACTATTCTTTACGGAAAATTTTCGGGTCTGAAGCGGTGATAAAATATGTACCAGCTGACTGGAGAGGTTGTATGTGGCAAAACTGATACAACTGGTTATTGGGCGAAGAGGTATTTCAGGTTTGTCGATTTTGGGTAAACCATAGAATGCTGCAGGTAATGCATCCGTGCTGTGAAGGTGGTAATAAAGTTTATCAGGAAGTTGGGGTTTATTAGAGTCATGTCCACTGGGTTGCTTCTTGATATCTTGGAGAAGTTTATTGAGGTCTTTTTCAACATGTGATGTAGGATTTCTTCGTTTATCGGTTATTTTGATATAAGTTGATTCATCACTCAGTAATGCTTCTATCTTCTCCTTTATTCGGCTGTATCCATGACGACCACACACCGACCTTTGTCGGAAACCAGTCCCACCACAAAACAACTGAATATGACACTAAAGACCCTAAAAAACGATCCTTCAATTGTCATCCTGCCTGCCGACAAAGGTCGGTGCGTGGTCGTCATGGATACAGCCGAATACAAGGAGAAGATAGAAGCATTACTGAGTGATGAATCAACTTATATCAAAATAACCGATAAACGAAGAAATCCTACATCACATGTTGAAAAAGACCTCAATAAACTTCTCCAAGATATCAAGAAGCAACCCAGTGGACATGACTCTAATAAACCCCAACTTCCTGATAAACTTTATTACCACCTTCACAGCACGGATGCATTACCTGCAGCATTCTATGGTTTACCCAAAATCGACAAACCTGAAATACCTCTTCGCCCAATAACCAGTTGTATCAGTTTTGCCACATACAACCTCTCCAGTCACCTGGTACATATTTTATCACCGCTTCAGACCCGAAAATTTTCCGTAAAGAATAGTTCGGAGTTCTCAAGCAAAATTGCCAAACACCCTATACCAGACGATGCAGTAATGGTATCCTTCGATGTTGTCTCATTGTTTACGTCAATCCCAGTTGAACTTGCATTATCTGTTGTTCAAAGAAGATTAGATGACGATAAAGATCTCCAAGATCGGACAGACATCTCCCGAACAAACATCTTAAGATTACTCAAATTTGTCCTCACAAACAGCTATTTCACGTATGAAAACACGTATTATCAACAAATATTCGGTTGTGCCATGGGCTCCCCCATTAGTGCCACCGTGGCGAATATAATCATGGAACACATTGAAGATCAGGCCATTACATCAGCAGCGCACCCTCCTATATGGTGGTTTCGCTTTGTAGACGATAGCCACACAGGCCTACATAAAGACCATGTACAAGAATTCCACGACCACTTGAATTCAATCAACCCACACATACAGTTCACAATTGAGATGGAGCAAGACAACAAACTTGCTTTCCTAGATACCATCACATACCGCAAAGATGGACACATACAAATCAAGGTTTACCGGAAAACAACCCACACAGACAAGTACCTAGATTTCAATTCCCACCACCCAGCCACTCACAAACGTTCCGTTGTCAACACTTTATTAGACCGTGCAGACAACATTCCGTCAACAAGAAATGGCAAACGCAAAGAAAGAAAACACGTCATGAAAGTACTACAAAGTAATGGATATTCCACCAAATTCATCAAAAATTGTGATACTATGCGTAAATGTTCAAAAGATAGAACCAACAATGAGAATGATTCTGCAGGCCTAGTTGTATTACCCTACATCCAAGGAGTTTCAGAACGCATTGCCAGAGTACTTAGACGCGAAAATCTCAAAGTTGGCTATAAACCCATTAGGACCTTGAACAACTGCTTTCCAAAACCCAAAGACAAACCAAATATTATGCAGTCCAGGGAAGTGATATACCAAATCAACTGTCAGAATTGTGAATTTGTGTACATTGGACAGACCGAACGTGCACTCCGGACCCGGCTCAAAGAACATCAACGAGCCATCATTAAACAGGATAAGAATTCTAAATTAGCCCAACACGCAACTTTACACAAACACAGTATAGATTTAAAAAACCCCAAGATTATAGACAAAGCAAACAATTATCGACAACGTTTGTTCCTTGAAGCATGGCATTCCCAAAGGGCCACCAATGCCGGTAGTGATCATATCGAATTACCTGGCATTTATGTTACTCTAAATTAGCAATTCAAATAACATATCAACTTGTATATAACTAGTATATTTTTAACACCATTTTAACCGACGAAGGTCTTAGACTTTTGACCGAAACGTCTTTTAACTTGTAAATAAACGTTGTTTTACGTTTTTTTTTTTCGGTGTGCACCTTTTATCTTATAAATATATATATATATATATATATAATATATATATATATATATATATATATATATATATATATATATATTTATATAT